TCTCCCCCCTGCCCCTGTGGCATGGCGGCAGGCCGTACCTACCAACTCCAGTGGCTGTTGGCCCAGCACTGCTGTGGAGCTCGGGTGTGAGTCCTGGGGAGCCAGCAAACACACTCTGCTCCCCCTGCTATCCTGGGCTAGAAAGGAAGGCCAGGCTGTACCTGCAGTCGTGCTAGAAACACCCTCCCCGCCCTGTAATAGACACGGTTCTCTGGGGGCACTGCTGATAGGGTGTTGGCCCAGCACTGCTGTGGAGCTCGGGTGTGAGTCCTGGGGAGCCAGCAAACACACTCTGCTCCCCCTGCTATCCTGGGCTAGAAAGGAAGGCCAGGCTGTACCTGCAGTCGTGCTAGAAACACCCTCCCCGCCCTGTAATAGACACGGTTCTCTGGGGGCACTGCTGATAGGGTCAGATTAGGGCCAGTTGCTTAGATTTAGGGCTACTGACAGCCCAAGCCAGGGTGGTCCTCCCCAATAAGACATCCAACCAGTCACTCGCCAGGAAGAAGCCACACAAGCAAGTCCCCTTAGACACTCCAACTTTGCGGTGCCACCCTCCGCACCACTCCGTACCCAGAGGGGCGGTTCTGAAAACCAATCTCACCAAATCCAAACAGGTTCTTCCGCTCCCCAAGGCCCCGCCACAGTCCCAGGTCCACCTATGCCTCCGATCTTACCCCAAAGAGCCCGCTGGGCCAATCCTTTCGAATTTACCATCTAAGGCAGGGTTACTCAACATGCGGCCCATGGGCTGTTTGTTGGCAGCTCACGGGTGGGAGGCAAAACGAAAAAGGAGTCAATATAACAATCTTCTCTTGAGATGTGGTTTAGCAGTTCAATTCCTGGACTGTCATTGTTCACGAAAAGTGCTGTCATATGGGTGGCAATTGGGGAAATATTGCATTTTATCAATATCAGCAGACCTGACTTAAATGGGGACTGTGTGTTGTATAGTCTTGCCTGAATTTTTGTATTCATGCCCATCAGTGTGAAAGAAGCTATTTGCATATATATTTGCATGTACATGCAACTACACTTAAGTTGTGGCCCTGGGCATGTGCCGTGAATATTGGTGTGGGCCCCGGGGCTTCCAAAGTTGAGTAGCCCTGATCTAAAGGTTGATTAATAAAAAGAAGAAAAAGATGAGAGTAAAATTGCTAAAGGAATCAAACTACATACACTCACTGCAAAGTTCCCGGGGCCAGCTTGCAGCCAAGATGAAATAATCTGCTATCTAATAGGTCTCTGGAATACGTCCTCTGCTAGGTTGGCTCATCCTCCCTTTTGGGCTCAGTTTATAGCAAAGATGCTCCAGAAGTGATGAGCTGGAATGAAGACAAACCGAGGAACCTCTCGGGCCCTTCTTACGACCTTGCCCCTGTGGAGGGAATCGCATTGCTCTCGCTGTGAGAACTCATGTCCCGAGATAGAGTCTCTCTCAAGAGCAAGTCACCGGTCCAGGCCTGGTCCTTTTAAGACAGCAGCCCTGGCTGACAGGCTGGTCTGAACATTCACAGCAAAGCTCCTCCGACACGGATGGGCACCACTTGAGGTGGTTGGCCAAGCCTGAGGATGTGTCCCAGAAGCAAACGTTTGCAATATGAGTCCAGAGCCAACATGCCCCGCTTCACGTATGAGACTGACACACGCCTCTGAGCAGGGCAAACAGAACCAGCGAATCATCCGCTTTCGATGGACACCTGGCCTGGCCCACTTTGTACAAGATGTGGTGCGAACCTTCAACAGTGGCTGCAGCCATGGTTTGTAGGTTAGAATCGTAGAATCACAGAATCCTCGGGCTGGAAGAGACGTCAGGAGTCATCGAGTCCAGCCCCCTGCCCAAGGCAGGACCAATCCAACTCAATCAACCCAGCCAGGGCTTGGTCAAGCTGGGACTTAAACACCTCTAGGGATGGAGAGTCCATCCTCTCCCTAGGGAACCCAGCCCAGCGCTTCACCACCCTCCTAGGGAAACAGTTGGTCCTCATGTCCAACCGAGACCTCCCCCACTGCAACTTGAGACCATTGCTCCTCATTCTGCGTCTGTCACTACTGAGAACAGCCCCTCTCCAGCCTCTCTGGAACCTCCCTTCAGGTAGTTGAAGGCTGCTCTCAAATCCCCCCTCACTCTTCTCTTTCTGTTCATCTCAGAAAGTCAGTAACATCTCTCTCTCTCACACACACACACACAGAATCTCTCTCTCTCTCTCACACACACACAGAGAGAATCTCTCGCTCACACACACACACACAGAATATCTCTCTCTCTCACACACACACACACAGAATCTCTCTCTCACACACACAGAATCTCTTTCTCTCTCTCTCACACACACACACACACAATCTCTCTCTCTCTCTCACACACACACACACAGAATCTCTCTCTCACACACACACACACACACACTCTCTCTCTGTCTCTCTCACCCACACC